CAAAGTGGATGAAAGACCTAACTGTGAGTCAGGAATCCATCAAAATCCTAGATGAGAACACAGGCAGCAACCTCTGTGACGTCGGCCGCAGCAACTTCTTCCTAGAAACATCTCCAAAGGCAAGGGAAGCAAGGGCAAAAATGAACTATTTGGACTTCATCAAGAAGTCCACAGCACAGCAAAGGAAACAGTCGACAAAACCAACAGACAACCTACAGAATGGGAGAAGATATTTGCCAACGTCTTATAAGATAAAGAGCTAGTATCCAAAATCTATAAAGAATTTGTCAAACTCAACACCCAAAGAACAAATAATCCAATCAAGAAATGGGCAGAAGGCATGAACAGACATTTCTGCAAAGAAGACATCCAAATGGCCGACAGACACATGAAAAAATGCTCAACATCACTCGGCATCAGGGAAATACAAATCAAAACCACAATGAGATACCACCTCACACCAGTCAGAATGGCTAAAATCAACAAGTCAGGAAACAACAGATGTTGGTGAGGATACGGAGAAAGGGGAACCTTCTTACACTGTTGGTGGGAATGCAAGCTGGTGCAGCCACTCTGGAAAACAGTATGGAGGTTCCTCAAAAAGTTGAACATAGAGCTACCCTATGACCCAGCAATTGCACTACTAGGTATTTATCCAAAGGATACAAACACATTGATTTAAAGGGACAACTGCACCCCAATGTTTATAGCAGCAATGTCCACAATAGCCAAACTATGGAAAGAGCCCAAATGTCCATGGACAGATGAATGGATAAATAAGATGTGGTATATATACAATGGAATACTACTCAGCCATCAAAAGAAATGAAATCTTGGGCGCCTGGGTGGCTCAGTCATTAAGCGTCTGCCTTCGGCTCAGGTCATGATCCCAGGGTCCTGGGGTCGAGCCCCACGTCGGGCTCCCTGCTCAGTGGGAAGCCTTCTTCTCCCTCTCTCACTCCCCCTGCTTGTGTTCCCTCTCTCGCTGTGTCTCTCTGTCAAATAAATAAAATCTTTAAAAAAAAAAATGAAATCTTGCCATTTGCAATGACATGGATGGAACTAGAGGGTATCATGCTAAGTGAAATAAGTCATTCAGGGAAAGACAATTATATGATCTCACTCATATGTGGAATTTAAGAAACAAAACATAGGGGAAGAGAGGGAAAAATATAACAAGATGAAATAAGGGAGGGAGACAAACCAAAAGAGACTCTATTTTTTTTTTAAAGATTTTATTTATTTATTTGACAGAGAGAGAGAGAGAGAGCACAAGCAGGGGGAGTGGCAGGCAGAGGGAGAGGGAGAAGCAGGCTCCCCGCTGAGCAGGGAGCCCAAGGGGGGGCTCGATCCCAGGACACTGGGATCATGACCTGAGCCAAAGGAAGATGTTTAACTGACTGAGCCACTCAGGCACCCCCATAAAAGACTCTTAAACATAGGAAACAAACTGAGGGTTGCTGGAGGGGAGCTAGGTGGGGGATGGGGTAACTGGGTGATGGACATTAAGGAGGGCATGTGATGTAATGAGCACTGGGTGTTATATAATACTGATGAATCACTGAACTCCACCTCTGAAACTAATAATATACTCTATGTTAATTAATTGAATTTAAATTAAAAAACCCAAATATATAAAAAAGATAAATTCCAATGTCATTTAGATGCATGGTATGTGTGAAATTAATACAGTAGAGCTGATATCCCACATTTTAGCTATGTTTTCCTATTTGTGGAAGTAATAAAAGATAGCTGCAAATTCTTTGACACTTCCATCATTGAGAGGTGAAGGTGGGGGTCTATGGCTTGTCCCTGTGAGAGTGGGGTTGTAACTGCTTACACCAAGAGAGTCTGGTGAAGTAGAGCTAGGTGACCTCTGAGGCTATAGGTCTTAAAAGGCCCTACAACTTCTACCTTGTTCACCAGAATGAATGCCTGCTCTTGGAGGCCCAAACCACCATGGAAGACTTCCAACTGCACTGCGGCCACCATAGAGAAGCCTCATTAAGCGCTCTGGTCGGCAGCCCTAGTCTTCAGGTCATCCCAGTGCAAATCCCAGCACAAGCCTTTAGATCAGAGGTTGGCCAAGTTTTTCTTAAAGGGCCAGATCACAAGGTCATATGATCTCTGTCACAGCTACTCAACTCTGCTGTCATAGCACAAAAGCACCACAAATGGCTCTATTCCAATAACCCTTATTTGCAAAAACAGGTGATAGGTTGGCAGGCTGTAGTTTGCTGACCCCTGTTCTAGATGATTCTAGTCCCCAGCCATTTGAGGCTAAGATCCCAGCAGAGATGGGAGAGCAAAGATAAACTGTCTCCCCTGCATTCTGTCCAAATCTCTGACCCACAGAACCCATGACTCTAATATATGGTTGTTGTTTTATCTCCACTATGTTTGGGGTGATATGTCACATAGAAATAGATCATTGGAACTGAACTGTTTTATGCAAGGTAGGCCTCATCAAGAAAGAGAGGTTTGAGCAAACTTGAAGGAGTAGAGTTAACCAAGAGGGTGTGAGTCTGGAGGAAGAGCATTCCGAGCAAACAGTTGGTGTAATACCCTGCGGTGGCAGAGTGTCTAGTATATATGAGCCACAGCAAGAAAATTCTAGAACGACCCTGCTGAGATGCCCTGGTGACCTTGCACATCTCCACATAGGCATGTAGGCAGGGCTTGATTGTAGTCTTACCCAAGTCTTGACAGATTGCTGTATGATTCCTCCCAGAACAAGAGAAGGTAAGCCTGGTGAGCAGTTTCCTATCCCTATCTTGCGGGCGATTGCAGCAAGCCCGTTTTTCTTCCTTCTCCATAGTCTAGTTGAGCACAGGACTTTCCATCTCCTTTGCTCCATGCCTCCCCCTCCCCTGTAGGAACAACTGCAGGCTCCAGTCTAAGTCCTTAAAAATGCTTGGCAATAGATGAGAGTTGGCTGCTCAGCAGCAGAGCACCCCACTGCTCAAGTGTGTACATCTGGCCCCTCTGATCTGGTGCCCTCCTCTGGGGCTGGGGACACAAGGAGCCGACACCATGCTGATTTTGCTTTTGCTGTCAGTATAAATAATAACCTGTCTAAATCCATTTGGGTTGGTTGTCTCTTTATAACCAAATCTACCCAAAGAGGCCAGCCAGCCTAAGGTTCAATGACTGACAGGAAACCAGCATAAATGGAAATGGAGCAAGGAGATGAGATCAGAGAGGATAGGGGCCCAGGTCCCCTAGGACTTTGTAGGCCTTTGGCCTTTATGCAGCAAGAACGGAAACACTGGGGCGCCTAGGTAGCTCAGTCCTTGAGCATCTGCCTTCGGTAGTGATCCCAGGGTCCTGGAATCAAGCCCCGCATTGGGCTCCCTGCTCCGCGGGAAGCCTGCTTCTCCCTCTCCCACTCCCCCTGCTTGTGTTCCCTCTCTCGCTGTGTCTCTCTGTGTCAAATGAATAAAAAAAAAAATCTTTAAATAAAAAAAAGGAAACACTGTAGAGTTTTGAGCAGAGAAATGACAATGATCTGGCTCATGTTGTCAAAAAGAATCACATTAAAATAATCTTGGGGCACCAGGGTGGCACAGTCAGTTAAGCCTCCCATTCTTGGTTTCAGCTCAGATCGTGATCTCAGGGCCATGGGATCGAGCCATCAGGCTGGGGGGCTCAGCACGCAGTCTGCTTAAGATTCTCTCTTCCCTCTCCTGCTGCCCCTCCCCCTCTCTCAAATAAATAAATAAATCTTTAAAGATAAAATAATCCTAAAAATGATTCCTTTAAGAAAACATATAAGTGTAAGCTCCTGTTGCAATTATTAGTAAAAGTGGCTTGATTTCTTTTATAATGAGCTTTCTCTGCTGCTGCCCTCTTGGCCCCTCCACACTTTATAGCTTCCAGCTGCTTTTCCACTCCTGCTGTGCACTTTTTCCTTGATGTTCACCTCCCTCCCTGAGCCTCATCTCTCTTTGACTCCTCACGGGGGCGCAGTAAAGGGTTCATCCCGGAGGCAGTGCGCTCCTCGACGCCAGGGCCGGGTCTCACACCTTTGGCCAGGTACCCAGGGGGCGCTCAGTGGGAAGCGGTGCCACAGTGGCCTTCGCCTCTGGGAACGTTGCCGCCAGGGTTTTCTGTGTCTTGCACGTCTGGACTGCGGGATCGCCGCGGCCGCAAGGTGCTGGACCCTCCTCTTGGGTCTGGCTGAGGCCTCGGGAGCCCTCCACTCCCCACCAACATATTTCTTTCTCTCTCTCTCTCCCTCTCTCTTTCTCCCACCTACACATGTTGGACTCCGGGCCCGCCCAGAGGCCACGGCTCTTTCTCCTCCTCACCTCCGCCCGCCCCTCCCCTCTTTTTCAGTCCCCTCCCTTTCTCTCCACCCCCCCGCCCCCATCCCGGGCCGCCCAAGCTCGGCCCATGGCCCGCCCCTCCCCGCCCCTGCTGTCCAGCCCGGGTTCCTTCCCCTTGGCTGCGCGCCTCTCCGCCCTCCTTCCCGCCCCCTCCCCACCCCAACTGGCTCGGGTCCGCTCGGACTCGGCCCCCGACCCGCCCCTTTCGGCCCTAGGCGCCTCCTGCCCCCGGGTCGGCCCGGCACTTCGGCGCTAGCTGCCCGGCCGCAGGCACTAGGCAGCTTTGCTAGCGCGCTTGACCCAGGACTGGCCAGGTTTGGGACGTCCGTCTGTCCGTCGATCGGGAGAAAATTTCCAGACGCGCGGCCCCGGGATGGGGCGGGCCCTGCTGCGGCTACTGCTGTGGTTCTTCCTCCCAGCGTTCTGGAGCGGAGGTGAGGGCGCGGGGCCCAGGGCCAGGCGCTGGGGGCCGGGGGCTCGCGCCTCGGAGTTCGCGGGAGGGGGCGCGCCCGGCTGCTGGGCAAGTTTGCAAACACCTCCGCACGCCCCAGGCATGCCAGCAAGTGGAGCGCAGGGGCCCCCACCAGCCCACTGACAGAGCACCCAGTATGGGTCGTGGATGCGAGTCCCGATGGAGTCGGGTAGGAGTGGGCACCGAGGGCTCCCCCTTACCTCAGAGGAGGAAATCGAGCTCCGCCCGGCCCGCTGCAGGTTCCGAAGTTTTCGCTCCAGAGGAATGTTGGTCGCAGGTCTGGTCCGGAATGCGCTGAAAACCTCCCTCTAGACATCGTTGCGTGGTTGGACCCCGGCTCTGGCAGTAGTTCTGGGAGCCGCGGGCCCCATCTCCCGAGGGACCGGTGCCGGGAGACGAACAGGCTGGGGAGTTGGGGTCACATTCCTGGTGCTGCGATCGACCAAGGACGGGAGTCCGCCAGGGAGGGACAGCCGTCCAGTCTGCTCCCACTGGGCTCTTATAGGTAATGTTAGTACCTCTTTGCAGGGACACCCTGTGAATGTGGGGACCCTGGACACAGGGGAAGCATTCTTTTAACCCCTGTTATTGCTGAACAGAATCTAATATGCTTGGACAGCATCTAGGTTTGTCCCGATTCGGTCACATTCCAATATAAGGTTCTAGATTGATAAGTGGAGGCAAGGTAAGGCGGGTTCCATTCTGCGTCAACAGCCTGTTCGGAGGCTAAGTAATTAACAAGTTTTAAGTTTGATCGCTGATGCATTTCTTGAGGAAGCTGGGAGAAACTTAACCAGCCTTTGCCAAAAAGAAAAAGAAATGGAGGGGGGATATTTTGAATAAACACATCCCTAGCATTTTTTCTTAGTTAAAAGTTTTCTATTTCCATTCAGCATGTGGTTTTTGTCTCTTGACGGTGAACATGGCTGAATAGCTTTTACCTAATTACAGTCAAAGATATCTTTTAAGAATACCTGGAAAGTTCAATTTATAGTTAAGGAATTTACTTAAAATGTTTTCCTTTGAGGTTTTCCTTTGAAAGCTCAGTTGCTCAAAAAATTCTTAAACAGTGAACCCTCTTGTTACATATTAAATTGCATAGCTATTTATAATTTGGGGCCACACAGCAATTTGAAGCAAACATCAAAAGCCAAAACCAATCAAAGAACTGAAACAGTTCCATTCTCCACCCCCACCAAACCCTAAAAAATTCTTCAGCATTTCTGCCAGATCCCGTTTTTTATAATCTGCTGCAAACCCATTCTATTTTGCTACTACTGAGGACTGACCATAAATAGTCTTGGAGGTAGTGAATGTGGTGAAAATTAGGAGAAAAGCAACCGAAACGATTGTTTTGGTGCTTATAAGATATTTAAAAATGGTGTGTTTCTCTAAATTTTTTAAAAAAACATTATCAAAAACCTTTTGTAGCAATTAGCTTTAGTCAGATAATCATAAAAGTTCGCTAAAACCCACCCAGCAGGAAAAATGAAAAATTTCTCCACTTTTTCTTCGACGTTTTGCCTTTTTTTTTTTTTTAAGAAAAAGAGAGAGAGAGCTGGGGGGTGGGGCAGAGGGAGGGGAGAGAAAGAATTTTTTTTTAAGATTTTATTTATTTATTTGAGAGAAAGAGTGAGAGAGGCAGAGGGAGAAGCATACTCCCCACTGAGCGAAGAGCCTGATGGGGGCTTGATCCTGGGACTCCCGGGATCATGGCCTGACCTGAAGGCAGATACTTAACTGACTGAGCCACCCAGGTGCCCCAAGAGAGAGAATCTTAAATAGGCTCCATGCCCACCCCAATGCGGGGCCCCATCTCATGACCCTGAGATCATGACCTGAGCCAAAATCAAGAGTCTGACCCTTAATCGAATGAGCCACCCAGGCACTTACCTTTTGCCTTTTATCTTGAATTCGCCAGTAAGATGTCTGACAGTGTTACATCTTACCTTGTGAAAGCTTAAAGGATGGGATTCTCACTGGCAGAATTAGAACAGAAGTAAGAATGTTATGGGTAGAGACTAAAAATGGAAATTAGACCCTTTGTCCAGTTTTAAGATTTTAGAGAGAGAGGGAGAGAGAAAGAGGGTCAACGTGAGGGATGTGTTTGTATACAATGGAGAGGAATGGATAAACCTAATTAAAATTTACATCTCACTTTAACCCAGAACCCCAAACACACACACACAGATGCATACACACAAACACCATCCCACAAAGAAACACACACACACACAGAACTGAAACTGCTGAACCAGTGTCATCAGACTTTCCAATCTGTACTTTTCTGCTCAGTCTCTGGATGGGGGAGCCAGTGAGCAGTGAAACCAGGCAAAGGGCGGCTCTCTAGAGGGCCAGGGAGAGGATAGAGGAGGAGAAATATAAAAGTGAAGGACTTAGTCCATCATGAAACAGTATGTGTAGCCGAACTCAATCCCTAGAACAAATTGGACTTTTTTTTTTTTTAAGATTTTATTTATTTGACAGAGAGAGACACAGCGAGAGAGGGAACACAAGCAGAGGGAGTGGGAGAGGGAGAAGTAGGCTTCCCACCCAGCAGAGAGCGCGATGCGGGGCTCCTTCCTAGGACCCTGGGATCATGACCTGAGCTGAAGGCAGACACTTAACAACTGAGCCACCCAGGCGCCCCCAAATTGGGCTTTTAAAACCCTTCAATGTTAGTGTTTCCCTCCCAAGCTTATGGAATGCCAGAACGCATGTTACAATATATTGTAAATATTTTCCCCGAGAGAACTTGAAGTTGTTCTGTTGTTTACAAGCTTTATGACAATGGCCTCAAATGCTTTTTGGAAGTAAGCAGGGCACATTTTAAAAATAAATAGTTTTTAAAAAGTCATTCCGATCCCCTTTTTGAAAGTGACGACTGGAACACAGATACGTTCAAAATTAACAATAATTTTTCAGTTTTATTTTTAGAAATAATTTTCAGATAATCTGAGGAGCAGGACCAGTGAGTTACCAGTCAGAGCTGATTATGAACAGGTGGAATCTTTAGATGTCCATGAACTGGGAACATGTTACCGGATAGAAAAGCTGAGCCAGGGTATCGGATCCCCCTACCTATAAATGAACACATAGGTGTAACCGCGGCTTCCTACATAATAGCCAGGATGAAATTGTAAAGAATTGGATGGTGTTGTCTCCTTGTTTAAAATTCTCCAGCGGCTTCCCACTCCCCCCAGGGTTTGCAAGGGTGTGAAGAGCCTCCCACCCCCTTTGCCCCATTTCCACTTGTTTCATGTTCACACTGCTCCAGCCACAAGTGTCTGTCTAGCTCATCTGCAGTGGGTATTCCCTCTGGCTGGAATCTTTTCCCCAAGATCTCTGCATGCTGGCTCCTTCTTGGGTTTCAGCTCAGATGCCCTGGAAGAGGGCTTCCCTCCCACACCAACCAGAGTTACACACACACACACACACACACACACACACACACACTCTCTCCCTCTCTCTCTCCATTGAATTTAATTTCCTCAGAACACTTTTCACTACCTGATGGTGTGTGGTTTGTTTTTGTTGTTGCATTTGTTTTGGTTTTGTTGGTTTTGAATGTAAGCATCCAGATAATCCCTTTCCTTTTTACCAGCTAAAACTAGGTTTTCCAAGTGAAGCCTTCTGGCTGCAGTGCTTCACCCATGTCAGATGCTCAGTATCTGGATGGTATCAGAGGGCCAGGCCTCTGTGGGTCTCACCGTGTGCTCCTCCCCCTTCTCTGCTCCTGTTGGCTCACCCAGACACAGAATTGCTGCAAAACAGTCTTATTTTTGCTGTGATGCCAAAGTGATTTCATTACTAGGAAACTTAGGGCATTGAAAGAAGATAGATTTGGGGACTATATTAACCCAATAGAGCAATATTGACATTTTATATTTTCTTAACTATTCCAACTAGAGGGAAAAAAAGGTCAAAAGCTGATTTTTCATGTTAACACAGAGATAGCAACTCCTTGCCAGAGGCAGGTTGCCTGATACCCTGTTAGTTGTGACCCTGAGTGCCTTGACTTTGGCCCATCCTCACTAGTTTAATCTTACCCAAAGCACATGGCTCTGGGTTGGTATGCATCTCAGTAGGAGGTTAATGATTATAAAAGATGGAAAAAAGCAGGTTCACCACAGGAGTTTCTTGGGACTGGGATGAAAATGTTAACAGGGGGGCTGGGTAGGCAGCAAGCTGGGCTTCATGTCCCACCTGACTGGTGTCTGGGGAGCCCTGGGGGCCATGGGTAACTCAGGACATCAGTTTCCTCTCTGGTACCATGAGTCTCTTCACACTAGTCAGAACAGGCAGGAGGATGAAATGAGCGAAGGACAAGTGGTAAATGCTCCAAAAATATCAGCCATCACTGCTGTTGGTTCTCCTCCATTCTTCTGGACTCACACTTTGGGCTAGTGTTTTTCCTAGACAAAGGGTGTTGGGGGGAAAGGTTCTTTTCTCGCTGAAATGTATCCTAAGTTGCAGCCTGAAATACGAGAACAGAGCTGTGAGCCACCTTCCACCAGTCAGAGCCCGTCAGTGAAGGGGTCCTAGAGCCCTAGAGCGATCAGGTCCTTGTCGCCGCTCTTTAGGGCTTTGTTCCTAGGAGTTCTGCTTGCAAAACCCACGCTGGTCACTTGTGGCTTGTCCCAGGAGGCAGGGCCTGCCTTGCTGCCATTCCTCCCACCCCGCCTCACCCGTTACCTCCACTTGTTGAGTTCAGGCTTAGCATAGTACAGGAATAGCTTCCTGTCATGTGCCTCTCAGGAAGGTATAAAAATGAAGTCCAAGTCCTCCTCAACTTTTCCCACAGAACAGTACTCCAGAGTGGGTGTGGTTTGTTTTTGTTGTTGCAGTTGTTTTTGGTTGTGTGGGTTTTGAATGTAAGTATCCAGATAATCCCTTTCTTTTTTATCAGCTAAAACTAGGTTTCCCAAGTGAAGCCTTCTGGCTGCAGTGGATACAAAATGAGGCTTTGTTTCTTGGATTAACTGTGTACGTGTCTGAGTGTGTGCGTGTGCGGGTAGTCCATGGGCGCGCGGGCAGAGAGCTCCAGATGCACTCCTGGCTTCCAGACACTTCCTGTTTGGTGGCAGGGCTGAGCCAGCCCCCAGGTACCCTGAGGGAAGCCCAGACTCCTCTGCCTCCTACACTCGGGGCATGTGCTAACCCCTGACTTGGGAAGTAACTTATTCTGTCTCTTCACCCGTGTTCTAGTCCTTCTGCCTCCAGCTGAGGCTGAAAATGCAGCCCGGCAAGGGTTGAGAATTCCATTAGGATCTGTGGGCATGACCTGCAGGGGAAGCCCTAGGCTGCCACGTCCAGGTGACCTCCTCAGTTCCTGGTGTTTTAAAGTGATAAATGGGACTCCTGGGTGGCTCAGTTGGTTAAGCATCTGCCTTTGGCTCAGGTCATGATCCCAGTGTCCTAGGATTGAGCCTTGGGTTGGGCTTCCTGCTCAGCAGGGAGCCTGCTTCTCCCTCTGCCCCTGCCCCTCCCCCTGCACAT